ACACTACTTTCTCAGACTGAGTGGTCACATTTAGATCTCTCAGCAAACAATGACAACATGCTTCAGGAGGCATTGGGCTTGTGCATTCCCCACTCCTTTGTGTATGTGCCTCAGACTCACACACTTCTTCGTTTCTTCCTTTCCTTCATAGTTTGGAGCAGCTTTCTATTTCTATTTCAGATATTCAGTTTAAAAGCTAGAGTGTCAAATCATAGTTCAATCGTCTGCTTTCTTAACTAGCTATGGTTTTTGCAAAGCAGAGTTTCCCAAATTTGGACAAAATGGGAAACGGTGGTTTGTTCCAAACTACAAGGGAAGCTTTAAATTACCTCCTTATTGGTGAATGAGGAAGAGAGGGTGAGAACTTGAGCCCAGTGCTCATCCTCATAACCATAAACCATGTTTTGTCAGTACATCTGAATCAGGCCAGTGGTGAACACAGTTTGTCAAAGCTCAAACTTTTATAAATTTACATACACTCAAAAATGTTGCACAAGACACTAGCTGACTTGGCAACTATATCAACTGAACATGCCCAGGCACCAGCACTTGACCTGAAGGAATTGGTGACAAAATTTGCAAAGGAAAATGCACAGAAAGTGTGGTTTTGTGTGCCTGAAATTGAATTTTTTAAGACTTCAGTTCACAAGATTATTCAAAATGATTTGTGTGCTAAAACATTTTCTTTTGTATTTGAGAAACATAATCAAAGACTGTTGTATTGCTAATTCTTCCAATGTAAAATAAATGTAGCAGTTTCAAGTTTTGTGCTTTTCAAAAAAAATTACAACCTGTTTTTAAAAACCATAGTTAGCATTTTTTAAAGGGGGCTGCAAGTAGCTAGCCTTGCCCAGGGAGCAAAATAGCTTGGCACAAGCACTGTGTGGAGGTAAGAGAAAAGCAAAGCCTGGTGGTGTCTCCAAAACACATATATACACAATTTAGAATATGAATTTGGTATTCATGTATGTATTCCAAAGCAGATGCTATTTGCCTGATAGTTATTCTCCAGTTTAGATAATAACCTGAGCCAGAGAAATATTGATTCCAGTATCTCCTGCCACCATTTACCTGCTAACTGCAGCAGTGGCAAAAAGAAGACTGTATTTCTTATGCCCTTAGGTCCACATTCTTGGGCCTAGAAAGCTGCTACAGCGTTGATACAGCTACCAAAGACCCTGGGAAATTAAATTTCTCCAGATCACACAATGTCTTTAGTATGGCTATATTTGATCAGAAAGATAAAGGACTGGAAGCAAGTTGGAGTGGATTATTATTATTATTATTATTATTAATTATCATCATCAATTATATTAATTTATATACTAATTAATTGCAAAATAGTTTTTAGGTGACTTGCAAAGCATGAAAACAATTACACAAACACTGAACTAAACATATTCATAATTAAAATATACAATAACATAATAGCATTAAAACAGCACAACAGTTGTCAGATTTTCTGCTTTGGGAGCTAAAGGAACTTTCCCTGAACATTCTCCAGTTTCATAATTGCTATGCAAATTCCCAACAGAATGAAGGGAGTTTGCTCATCACTGAAAAGGTCTAAGTGTAACACAGTTTGACAGAACTAGAGGGGAGAAGGCAAAATGGATTTCCCTTGCTACTCTCAAAACCAGTAGAGGCTTAGGAGTGTAGATGCTCATGCACCATGAGCAGCAAAAAGCGTACTGAATTAAATATATACCTTCTTAAAAAATGAAACTGCCTGAAACCTCACAATTACAAAACCACCAAACATCTTGTAAAGATTTAATTTGCACTGATGCCATGTTGTTATTACATCACAATAAACTTGATTTGTACAAATGTTGTCCATTGTGGAAAACACGCACTCCATGTATATCTTCTAAAAGACCTGATACGACATACTGTGCAGCCTTATAAAGGTTTGATAGAGTCAGAGTCTACGTATTTCAAGCAGTTGCTTCCCACACCCATCTTCAATGAATAGTCACTTGTGACTGTCAGGAACACAAGGAAGCAAACTCTGGTGTCTGCAAGAGTTGTTGCCAATATCTTATTATTGGCTGAGATCACAGCTTCAAATGATAAAACAGAATCATTGTTACATCGTAGAGGAGGCCTTGAGGGGATGGGTACTGTTGCCCTTCCTTTGATGTGTGGAAGGCTGGACAGCACTGATTTCTTTCCAGCATTCTCAAAAACCTAGCTTAGATGGCTTTAAAGGGAGAAAGACAGCCAAATGTTGGCTTCAGTGTGTCTGGGGACAAAAGCAGTTACATTGTCTGTACAGAACACCAACATATGGCAAAGTATTTGTGCTTCATATATGCACTTTGGACCTTACAAGCTGTCCAAGAACTGATATTATGGTATTTATGAAGCTAAGTAGATGTAGTCCAATCAATTTCTTAGATGGGGTACCACTGAAAGCCCCATGTAAGTATTTCTGTATTACATATTTAAAGGTTTATACTTTACATTTGCTATATTGGTGATTAGAGATAGCACTCCTCTAAATATCAAAATAATTGGGGGGCGGAACCACTGGGAGAAGCTATTGCCCATGTTCTGCTTTTTGAGCTTTGAATAGGCATTAGTTAGCATATTACAAGAAGCCAGATTACAAAAGGCTAGACAGGCTTTGGTCTGATCTAGGTAGGCTCATCTTATGTGCTGAGTGGAATTTCCCCAAGTATTTCCCCAAGTATTTGTACCACTGGGTTAAACAGAAAGCTCTGGGTAATCTGTTTAAACTGGTAATTTACATATTAAAATATCCTACCCTATTTATCCCCATCAATGTCCATAAATAAAAGGCTTAAAAACACACCCGCAGCATCATTTGTTGTCTGCCTTTGCTCACAAATGTCTCTTTCAATTATTTTACATGGAACTCCCTTTCTCAATTAGCTTTCACTTTCCTCTTTTCACATTCAATCTTTCAAGTAACCTCCCAAGCTCTGCGCGCAAGTCAAGTGGGAATGGCATAAATTGGAGTATCTAAATTTAGCTCCGTAACTAAGAGTTACTATAGCAGATGATTAAATTCTCTCTTTAAAAATTCTAGACTTATTGGCTTCCTTGGGAAAATATCTGTATAAGTAGGTTCATGGGGCATCAGTGGTGCTCATCACTCTGAATGCCATGTATGTTTTAGATAGTTGGCTGCACAGTAATGTTAAGCTGCTGTTTCCACCTAAAAAGAAGCTTCTTTCAAATGAGTTTTGTAGGTTATATAGTGGAAAACCTTGGAAGGAGTTTCAATAGAGCTTTGGCAGGCCAGTAAGGACCAGTCCCATTCAACTCGCATCCCACAAACAAGACAATGTTTATTGGAAATGTTACCATATTGGTCCAGCTATAAGCCTCCCATAAAGCCTGTCTGTAGCCCTAACATGTAACAGGCACCTGTGCAGAAGGACACGTGATGCTTTTCCTAAAACTGCCCAAAGTTCCATGCACTTCCCAAGGTCTCGTCTTAAATTAAGGCTGCTCTACCTGTAAGAGAGCAATTATAGGCCACACCCTGGTTTGATACAGGCCAGCTTTATGGAGAAAGTGTGGCCTCAATATGGTACATTTTCCTGACAAGCATATTCTATCATGATAAGAAACATGTCATGAGAAATGTATGTATGCCTGTGTACCTGAAGGAGCATCTCCACCCCAATTGTTCAGCCCAGACACTGAGATCTCAGCCTTCTGACAGTTCCCTCATTGAGAGAAGTGAGGTTACAGGTAACTAGGCAGAGGGCCTTCTTGGTAGTCGCGCCCACCTTGTGGAACGCCTTCTCATCAGATGTCTAGGAAATAAACATCTGACTTTTAGAAGAATTCTGAAGGCAGCCTTGTGCAGGGAGGTTTCTTGAGATTTTTTGTGTTTTAATAATTTGTTGAAAGCCGCCCACAGTGGCTGGGGCAACCCAGTCAGTAGGGCGGCATATAAATAATATAAGCATTATTATTATTATTATATTACATTCCCATTAAAACTTGCCCCAAGGGGCAAAAATGTGTGAAGAGGGAAACTTCCCTCTTGCCAAAAGACCCATAGGGAGGTTTTATTCTGAGTTCCTTATACTCAAGAAATAAAGCATGCTAATAGAATTTTTCCAGCTGGCCTGCAATAGATATACTGGTGCTGGGTTATCATGCATTGGCCTGGAATGGATATGCTGGCTCAGTGCCTAATTAAAGAAAGGAAAATTTCCCTGGAAATGGAGTGAATTGTGACAGGGGAACTCTGATTTATATTTTATTCAGGCAGTGGCACAAAGGCACAAAATCAAAACAGTGCGTTCTTTGGCTCTCTCCCCCCCCCCCACAAAAAAGTCAAAGAGAGATCTAAGCAGGGTTACTTAATTAAGCTGAAGGGTAGCCCAACGCCTCCCTTGATCTGCTGCCTCCAGTGAATGCAAGAAAATAATTGTGGCATTTCCTTTAGTCAGCTCCAGAGAAGGAAAGCAACTATTAACAGCCTTTCAAAGACGTTATTGTTTTAAGGGATTTTCTCTGGTGTTAAAACTAAACTTCAGGTCTACTGCCCAATTAATGAAATGTTATATCCAAGTCTGGTGCATGTTTACCCAGAAGTAAATCTGACCTTCTTCAATGGAGGCGTACCCCAAATAAGTATGCCTAGGATCTGAGCCTTCATTACGGTAGTTGTATTCATGTTAAGGTTGGTTGTTTTGAATAATGCTATAATTCTGAACAAAAGAAAGCATATCTTTTTTTAAAAAAGGAAAAAGGCTGTCCTTTTAGAGCTAGGACTCAGCTACATTAGTAAAGAAAATGTGCTTTATTTGAATTATAACACTGTGACACCAGATGGCGCTGTGGAGTCCTGTCTTTCTCCAACGGGATTTCCCTTTTAACTGAATCGCATTTTTGATATGTCTAGATCCAGGCCTAGTGTGGGGGGGAACTGGTCCTCCAGACCACATAGAATCATAGAGTTGAAGGGATTACAAGGGTCATCTAGTCCAACTTCCAACAATGCAGGAATCCTTTGCCCAACATGTGGCTCAAACCCACAACCCTGAAATTACAAGTCTCATGCTCTACCAACTGAGCTATCAGGTCAAGATGTTGCTGAAGTACAACTCCCCAGCAAGCATAGTCAAAAGCCAGGGATGATGTAGTTCAGCAACATCTGGAGGGCCAATGTGAGCACCATATTCCTCTACACACCTGCACATATGTGCAGAATCATGAAGAAACATGACACATTCAAAACAATAGCCAGAAGATATGTTTTTAATATGGGTGCAGCTTTGAAACCCTGTCCATATCTGTTACTAAAGAATCCTAAAATAGTCATCTCAAGTTTGAGGGTTCGGAAACCGCCCTAAAGAAGGAAACCCAAGGAAGCATACCTGGGACTAAACCTCATTGAACTCAATGGAATTTAATCCAACGTAGAGCAGCAGTATTAAGGAGCCAGGTGTGAGCCAGGTCTCTAACTGCTACCTATTGTGAAATATTAAAAGATGATCTGTATTAACTGTGGCTGTTCAGCTGAGATGGACATATTCTGAAATGTTGGTGCTGTAAGCAGAGTTATTTATATATATATATATATATACCACAGAACAGAGCATTGTTATGGTTGAACAATAGTTCTGAGTGGCAACACCTTTGAGTAATTTGGCTGTGATTTAACATATATGCAAATTCCTCGAGTTTCTGACTGCATAATAGAGCAATCAGGAGAGAGAGAAACGGCAGAAGTGTTGCCCTGTTGCTGTCTGTCCATCTGTTACACTTGGCAAGATAGTGGATGCTCGCTTATGGTCTGTGTTAGGTCTGCTTCCTCCAACGTCGAAAGCAAATGCAGGAGAGACCAGAAACTTCTGTCCTCCTGAATTATTCCTCTTTCTTGAAGTTCTCACAGTAATACCAATAAGCACAAATCCATTGGAATCCAGGTTCTGAAACTTACTGGTAAGCTGTAAACTAAAAGACTTCTAGAAGATTCACTAGAAAATGGCACAGTCCTGTGATACTACTTTATTCTCAAGTAACGCTATGAGGCCAGGTTATCTCCCTGAAATATGTATGTTGCCTGAATAGTCTAGCTCCTTGTCAGTTTGTAAGCATGATGTCAATATCAACAATTGTCCTATTGTGGCATTTGTTAGTTTTCGTTTTTACTCATTTAAAGTTAGTTTTCCTTTTTACTTATTTACTTCATACAAAATACCATACCCTCTAACATTTCTCTGGTGAAAATAGGGAAATTGCATGTCATTGTGGATCGCCCAGTCCTTGTCTAAGGAATGGGGCTTGTTAAGCCATTCCATGAACCAGTGCTTTTTTTCTTTAAAAAAACATTTAGGGGTACTCTCATTTTCCTATTCATATTGAAATACTGCCCCTCAATGAGGCCAAACTTAGATTCACAAAATGTCTAGGGGCATGTGTATACCTGCGTCCCCCCCCCCCCCGAAAAAAAGCACTCCTTTGAACCATTCTAGCATTGGTGGAAACACAGTACAAACTTTCATCCTCTTGAAATTACCTCAGGGCGAAGCTTTGATTTGGTTCTGGGGAAGCAGGGCAAATACTAATTTACCAGCACCCTGCCAATTAGCATGAAGACCAACATGGCAGAACCTCCCCACAAAAGCTTAGCTGGTACAATCCACCTGACTTTTGCTATTCCTCTGTTTTGGTTACTAGCTTCTTGATTTAGGATTGTATTCTTCAAGTTCTTTCCATAACAATTATGTGATTCCTCATTTACTACCTGCCATGTACCTGAGAATGCCAACACAGAATATAGTATATTCCTTACTATAAAAATTGTATAATACTCCTGAGTTTACAAAATTAAACTTTCTGTGTACACTAAGCATACTCAATTTTTTAAGAAAACATACACACACATTGCACTGAGATTAGTTCAAAGGACTCACATATTATGTAAACAGATCTTCCCACTGGAAAAATGTATGTCCAGATTCATCTGTAAGAATAATTCAGTCTGATACTTTAGCTCCTCCTTGTGGCAAGCCCTTGGTTATTATAAAGTAAATATATCACATAAAATGTTTAGGAGTTGACTAACTTCAGAGTTCTTATTAAAGAACAATTAAAATCAATGTTATAATACAGCAATGGTGGGTTTTTTTAATGGTATAACAAAGGGAGCCTTAATACAATGTGTACTGTTAACCACACAAAATAATATTCAAAGTGTGGTGGTAGAACTAATTCATATTTTTTATTTAAAAACTTCTTTATAGGCAAACAGAATCAGCAGTCCCAAAACAGTAAACTGACCTGAGACATATTTGCATAAAAATGATCTCAACACAGACTCATTGTCTGATTTTAGAATAGCCAGCTCTTGAAATAAAAAAAATGAACTAGGGTGGGATACAGTTTTTTTTGTCAGGGGGAGCAGGTCCTGGGGCTGAGTGAAGCACAAAATTCGTCCAGCCATCTAAAGTGCATAACCTTTTTAAGTGAGGGGAGCTGCAGGCCAGGTTGAGTTTTTCCTCCCTAGTCAGTTAGCTCCCCATCCTTTTTAATTAAACAAAATAAAACAAATTTCAATATTTATACTGATTCCTCATTGTCTCAAATAGGAACTCACCAATTGGTAGAAGGAAAATTTGTGCTGTATGCATTTAATAGAATCCAGTCTGAATAGGGCCTTCAGCATGTTATTCTCCCCTTGAGCTTCAGAACTGCTGTTCAAAATATTAGACAGGCACTAGGCATAGATAAGAGACTTTCCAGAGATAAATTCAGAATGAAAACTCCCAGGCTGGCAGTGACAGCTGATTCAAATGTAGTTGAGAACCAATAAAGCAATAATGTATGACACAGAGACACATATGTCATAATAAACCTCAGATACATAGAATAAAAAGAATACGTTAAAAATGAGAGTTGTACAGATAGAAATAAAGATAATGTTCAGCTCAAGTTGAGAAGCAATTTCTTAGTATTCAGCTCAGCAGGCGGAGAGCAACAATTTTCAAACACGATGCAAAGTGACTTAGAAATATATTTCATTTCCAAAGCACCATAATCTGAATCAATGCTCTATAAAGAAAGAATAGTTAACATCAATACTTTGTTACCAGTTATTCCAGCCAAAGCAAGCTGTATAGCAGGGGTCCTCAAACTACGGCCCACGGGCCAGATCCAGCCCGCCCGCAAGGCTCAAGGCTCAGAAGCGGCTGGGCAGGAAGAGTCCTGAGGTAAAAACGTGCACATGTAACGAAGCCCTGGTAACGCTGTTGCTACTGCCGCTGCTGGCTGCTTGATATCGGCACGCTGCCACTTTAAGCTGCCGGAGGGCAGGACGGCAGCGAAGGAACCCCTTCATGCCAGCCCTTACCCTCCTCCCTTCCCCTCAAGCCAGCTCCGTCCTCGCAGGAGCAGCGCCTCGCCGGCCGGTTGCCTCCTTAACGCGCATGCGGGTCCCATGTGGCGGCCTTGGCAACCTTAAAAGTTAGGGAAGCACCAGAAACACAGGCAACATATGCAAATAGAATTAGCAAGAAGAGAAGTCTGAATCGCAACAGTTTATCATACAAGGGAATCTCCATGTAAATAGTGGTGGGTTAATCTTTGAAATAAAGCTCTCCACCCAGACTTCCCCAAGTTTGAAAATAAACTTCAATGCAGAGAAAGTCATATGCATGAGGAACAACAACATCACAAATAACCCAGAAGAAATGAAGTATAAAGGTGAGGTATAGGTAACTTATATTATTACTGATAGTGCCTGTTGTGTGTCTGTTCAGGATATTATTTTGAAACAAGGTTTTTTTAATAATAATTTTAAAAATACATGAAAAAGAGCATGTTTCTGGCACCTTTTTAGTCCAGCCCCCAACAGTGTCTGAGGGACAGTGAACTGGCCCCCTGTTTAAAAAGTTTGAGGACCCCTGCTGTATAGGGACTGATGGCTGAGCATTTAATTCCCCACAAAGCCTCTGATGAAGCATCATTCCAGGGCACTGTGGGAAACCAAAATGCCCACTAGCTGTCACCTTCAGGTAAACTTTTAACTAAAATCCAAATCAAGGGCTAGCACTGGTGGGACCTAGCAGATACCTCAAGTTGCTGGATGCTGGTGCCAGACCTGACTCCAGTTGCTTTTAAATTATGCTTTTCTTCTCCTGACCATATTTATCATTTGTCACCCTTCCCCCATCCAAATGTGACCAACAGCCAAAACGCAGCATTCCTTCCTTAACTGGCACTTTTTGCTTCCAATAGTTAGAAACTATGACAGCAGCAACCTTTCTTAATAAAAGTCGTTCTTCTTTCTCTGCTTATAGCACCTTTCAAGTAAGTATGTTCTGGGGTCAAAAGGTAAATTAAATTTTAAGTATCACACTCACACGTATTCTTCTCTTTATCCATAATATCCTTTTGTTATCCAGAATATCATGGCTTTATTAGAATGTTTTCGCTTTCCTTCAGAAACCTTCAACACTTATTTTATAATTTATTTAAATAATTAAGGAAGGTGTTTTCAGAAAAAAACAACTAATGTCAAAGGAAAAGTGTCACACGTACCTCCACCTTCCACCAGGTCAAGTGAGCTGGGGAAAATGGCTCTTACCCCTTGTTTTCTCCCATATCCTCCCCTAGACATTGAAAAAATGTATGAAATGCATGGGGCCCCCCCCCAAAAAAAATAATGCTTTGATAGAAATATAATTTCTTAATTAAAATGCAATAGTTAATGGATACCTCAGAAGTCAGACTGATAACACTTCCTCCACTCTTTCTGTATGAACATTAGAGGACACTTTATAGCCTTGGGGGTGAGGATAATCAACCCCACAATGTAGTAATATTTACGCTTCATTATTCTTCCTAAGAGATACTACTCTTAAGTTTCATTTTAAGTCAAATTTCAGTGAACATGGAACATGGAAGACTGTCAAGATTTAAGGGGGAAATTAATTTATATAAAGAGAAAGGGAGGTGAACGGCCTTCCATAATCTCCACTAATTGTATTTCCCAAAATTCAGATGCTAATGAGTTAGTGGATATCGAAAGAGAAATAACAGCTGCAGCTTATCCCGCTGTGTTCTTCAGTAATGACAAT